TACGGACACGTCGAGGCCGACTGTGTCCCAACGTACGCCTCCAAGACGAGGCACGAGCCACTGCGCGAGCGGCACCAGGAGCTGCTGGACGACGGCGACACGGAGGGGGCCGCAGTAGTCGAGGTAAACGAAGCACATCCGACTCCGGAGCTGTAGACTCTACGCGAGATCGTAGACCCTTCGGCAGCCCTCGGCTGACATTCGCGTGGGACCACCGAACGAAGACGACACCGACTCGGGCCCTTCGGTCGGGGAGCCCGACCCGGTGTCGGCGGAGAGGGCTGCCGCGGCAGCTTCCATCTCCGAGCCCACGATGCCCACGGCTTCGCGGGAAGAAGCGGAGGAGGCCACTCCGCCAGCGCCGACAGCCGCTCCGGGGAAAGCTCCCCCGCCGGAGCCCAACGCAGGTGCGCCTCTCAAGGACACGGGCAAGGCAACACGACAGAGTGCGCGTAAAAAGTACAAAGACCTTCCCGAAATCCCAGCCTCGCGTCCCGTCGAAACGGATCGGTCTTCGCTGAAGAATGTGTGAGGAAACCCGGCACTTTCCATAATTTGGGTGAGAGTTATCTTTCCTCAACTCTGTCTTTTCTATTTTTACTCGGTAGTTGTGCTTCGTTGGTTTTCTTTTCGTTCTCTTTTCTTAGTTGGTGTGTTTGTACCTTTCATCTCGTCTTATCACGTCTACATTTGTACTGTTGGTCTTGGCTGCTTCTTTGTGTTCTGTTTATATACAATAATTTTAAATGAAGTGTTTAAAAATAGAAACCTTTAATTGTATAAGTGTCACCGCCACGAAGCGTAAAAGTTTTTTATTAGATCTAATTAATGAGGAGAGCGCGGACGTCATTTTCATACAAGAGACAAAGATCTGCTCCGCTGAGAAAGCAAAAAGTTTTGTTCGTTTTTTTGGAAACGTTTTTTGGTGCGTTCACACGCTCACGGCTAGCCCCTCCGGGGGAACCGCCATCCTAGTCAGAAAAAATACTGGCATCCGAATGCTGGACCCCAGACTGTGCGCGAGTGGGCACTTTGCACTTGCCGATTGCCTCCTTGGAGACCAGCTGGTGCGCCTTATATCGGTCTATGCCCCTAGCCGGCCGGGGGAGCGCAAGGACTTTTTCGTCGGACTGCGCGCACTTCTTGACACGCCCGCCACGCTCGTGGTCGGCGGAGACTTCAACTGCGTGACTAACAGTCGCGATAGAGTGAGCGGGTCGGCAGTCCCAAGAGCCGACGTGGGTGCGGCTGCGCTTCGCGACGCCGTGCGCGATTTCGACCTTGTGGACGTGACGGAGACGCTTGACAAGTTTTCGCCGCGGTTCACGAGGTGGAGGGGCGCGTCGCAGGCGCGGCTGGACCGCGTTTACGTCTCTGGCGAGTGGTCCGGGAGCGTCGTGTCCTACGATGCGAAGATTGTCCCGTTCTCAGACCACGGTTTCGTCGCGGCTGAGATTCTTGCTGGGGGCCCCGGAAGTGTGCGGGCAAGGCGCGACACGCCTTGGAAGATGAACTTCAGCATCCTCGAAAGCGAAGATTTTATTGAGGAGACGAGGCGTGCTCTCCAGAACCTGGAGGAGGGCGGCGCGGACGCGGTCTCGTGGGAGGAGTTCAAGATCAAGCTCCGGGATACCGCGTGCGCGCTCGGCCGCCGCAGGGGCGCAGAGGAACGTCAAGCTCGGATTCACCTCACGAACACCCTCAAGGCACTGCTGGAGGAGGAGGAGAGCAGTCCAGGATCCTTCAGTGACGACATCAAGCTCTGCAAAGAGCACCTGCTGGCCATGCTGGAGGAGCGCTACAAGGAAGCCCAGGTGAGGAGCAGAGTCGAGACACTCGAGGGAGAGACGCAGCCCTCGAAGATCTTCCGCACACACGAGCGGAAAAGGGCAACAGAGAACACTATCAAGGAGCTGCGGCAAGGAGCTCGTGTTTTCACCTCAAGAGAAGACATCGCGGGCGTCTTCGAGACGTCCTTCGGGGAGCTCTTCCGGGAGGAGAGGCTTGACGATGTCGCTTTCGAGCCCTTTCTCCGGGGATCTCCTTCGGTTCCTGAGGGGGCGGTTGACATTTTGAACTGCCCAATCCGGGAGGCCGAGGTCCAACATGCAATCAAGCACCTGTCCCGTAACAACGCTCCCGGCCCGGACGGCATCGGGTCAGAGTTTTACTAAATCTTTTCTGACGCTCTGTGCCCCATCTTGGCTCGAGTCTTCAATGACATCCGCAGACGAAGGCTACTTCCTCCGACCATGCGGCAAAGCTTCACGGTACTGATCCCGAAGAATTCTAAAAAGGGCCCTATTTCCGAGGTCGGGGACTTTCGGCCCATCAGTCTTCTTTGCTCTGATTATAAAATCCTGGCCAAGATCCTCGCAAGGCGACTTGACACCAGTGTTGCGGAGTTGCCACTCCGGAGTTGGAATGATTCCGGAATCATTCCGCATTTTCGCGACCCCGGAATGGAATGGGAATGGAATGGCGGCCACGGTGAGGGGAATGGAATGGGAATGGAATTAGATGCCTTTTGCCCGGAATGGAATGGGAATGGAATGGGCCAGGTTCTTGATATTTTATTTATTTTTTATTTATTTTTTTTTACGTTCAGCTATACCGAGCCAGTCTGGGAGTCGGTTGTTCAGAAATAAAATGAGCGGGAAACCGTAAACCCGCGTAAGGCCCTAACAGACTTATACGCAAAAGAAAAAAAAAATGCAATACAAAAAACAAGCGTCAAAGCAAAGAACAGAGGGGGGAGGAGGGGCGACGGTGGCGCCTTTCACTAATGAAGTTCAACACAAATCCGAATGCGCCTGCGCCTGTAATATTGCAGGGCTCAAGGGTACGTCATCAGCCGACGTTAACGTGACCCGCTGCTCTGGTGATCCGATACCCAGGAAGGAGGCCAGACGTGGCCTCGCTGTGCGGACCCAGACTTCGTACACCTGCGACTCGTCTCGAGCGCGCTGTTTCTCGGAGAGCTCGCACCTGTGCCGGCCATCTCAGGTCGCAATCCACAAGGTCTCTGTTTGAATGATGCTAGGCGAAACGTGAAGACTGCTATTCATGTGTTGGAGGCGGAGAGTCGGCAGAGAGGACCGTCACAACAGGGAGGCCACCGTATCGATTTTTCAACCGTAACAAAAGGTGAGACATGTGCTTCAGGATGCTTCAGATGGTCCACTTTTCTCGAAATTTCTAAATGCAACTGCCTGCATAGTCTTCAACGAGGTCACCTACAACGAAAGTACGTATTCTCCTTTCATACAGCAGCGTGGGTAAAGTTTCATGTTCAACACCTACAGATTCAAGAATACTAGTTCATCCCACCGTGGCGTCATGGGATCAGTGCTGACAGGGGCGCCCTTATTGGACGGGGAAGTGTTGATGTTCTGTTGGAATTTATTTAGAGGTCGAAGTCTTTTCGCATCACTGGTCAGTCAGACAGGATGCCAGGGAAGGGACCGCCGTCAATCCTTGATGGAACGTTTTTTAAACCCATTGACTTGAGGACTCTTCGTCCGGAACCACTACCTTCAAGGCAAAGTGCCAAGCCTGCGGGAAAGTAATTTCGGGACAAAAAACAAAAACAAAAAAAAAACTTTCACTTCAAACTTAAAGCCTCATCTCAGTTCGCGTCTCAAAGAAATTTGAAAAATGTATTGCATTATCAGTATTTATATTTCTGCCCTCCCTAAAATGTATTCTTGTATTTGTATTTCCAAAAACTTTTTACCTCTTTTTAAATGCATTTCCTATACGTATCGCGATATATTTTAACAGATATGTTTCAGACTTGAGTATCAGGATCTTAGCAACTATTTTCATCTATCCCAGTATTTGTATTTCAACATACATTTTTGAATATTTCTGCCCATCCCTGCAACGTAATGCAGCTGTCAAGTGACACTTTTATCGTTTAGGAATTAGAGGAATGGAATGGAACGATTCAGCCATTCCAGGAGTGAGAATGGGCCTAGCGTCCCCATTCCTAGGAGTTGAAAGGAATGGAATTATCGAAAACTCTAATTCCCCGGAATGGAGTGGGAATGGAATGGGGGTGCCCATTCCGCAACACTGCTTGACACAGGTCTCAAGTCCATCATAGGGCCCCATCAGACCTACGGCCTTCGCGGGAGGAAAATATCCAGGAACCTCATGCGGGCGATCGGCGAGGCGACGGCGGAGGGTCACCAGGCCCTGGCGGTCCTGCAGCTGGACCTGCGGCAGGCCTTCGACCGGGTGTCCCACAGGTTCCTCCTGGCGGCGCTGGATCGATTCGGCGTGGGGGAGGAGCTGCGGGAGTGGATCGCGCTCTGCTACCGAGACATCTCTACGCGCCTTCTCATCAACGGCCAGAGGGGAGGTCCCATCTCCATCGGGAGGTCGGTTCGGCAGGGCTGCCCCCTTTCGCCCATCCTCTTCGCGCTGCAGTTGGAGCCACTCTGCCGGGCAGTCAATGCGGACCCATCCATCTCAGGTTTACGGCTTGGGGACGAAGACGTCCGCGTTCTGGCCTTCGCAGACGACGTCTCGTTTATCTGCTCGTCCAAGGTACAGGTGCAGACCATCCTGCGACACGTGGACCGGTTCTGCGCTGCCTCAGGGGCCATGATCAACCGACAGAAGTCGGCGGGGGCGTGGCTCGCTGAATGGGCGACTACGCCAAGAACTTTCGGAGGTATAGGATGGAGCACTTCGCTCGACGGCTACCTGGGTGTGCCGGTGGACCCGCAGCGATCAATGGCCGCAGTGTGGAGACCGACCGCCAACTCCGTTGCCGCCAAGCTGTCGCCCTGGCGGTGCAGAAACTTTTCTTTCTTCAGCCGGGCTCACGTGTGCAACACAGTCAGCTACCCAGCCAGCCGTGCTGTACAGGGCTCAGGCCGTCTGCTGCCCGGGCAGCCAGGCCGGAAAAGTACACCGGAACTGGGCCATGTTCGTGTGGAAGTCCGCCATGGAAAGCACACGAAGGAACAACCTCTTTCTGCACAAAGAGAGCGGAGGTCTGGGCCTCGTTAACATCGTGCTCAAGCTGCACGTGCAGCGTTTTCTGCTTTTCCGGGATGCAAAGGACCCGACCTTCATCGCCGTGCTGCACCACCTTGGATTCCTACATCTCGGGAATTGGATGGTGAGCACGAGTGGCCGCACGACCAAGGGAGCCGCCCTGAGGTTCTACAAGGAAATCGCCAGCTCCATCGAGTTTCTGCAGGCCCAATTCTCCTGGGAATACCTGGCGACCGTCGGAAAGAGGCGGCTGTACTGGGATGCCGTTTCCGCATCCTTCCCGCCACCGCTCTACAGACAACCACCGACGCCCGACGACGCGACGCGACTTTACAAACTCGTGCGAATCCTTCCCATCCCTGTGGCGACAAGGGACTTCTTCGTCCGGATGCACATGGAGGTCCTTCCAGTTAAAACCTGGCTCCATCAAAAGGGGTTCTTCGTGCCGTGGTCCCTAAACTGCGACCTTTGCGGGGCGCCCGAGACCATCCAGCACGTCCTAGTCGAGTGTAGCAATGCCTACCTCTTCTGGGACGAGATGAGGACGACGTTTGAGCTCAGGGACTCCTTCGAAGTGGAGTGGAGCGTCTTCAAGTATCTGCAACTCGAGGAGAGGGATAAGACGGAGGTGGCGCACGTGATGATGCTGCTGGGCCTGCACGCCATCTGGCAGTCGCGCACCGCAATGGTGCAATGCCATCTCGACGCGCGTCCAACCTGGAGCTACTTCGTGTCCACGTTGGGGTGGGTGCTATCGGTGACGTCGCGGCAGCCGAACGCGGGTGATTGGGAGTGCATCGAGCGACAACTCGAGGAAGGTCGTCGCCGCTGCGTGCAACGACGTACGTCAGGCGTGGGAAACTGGCGAGTTCCCGTGAACTGTAGGCGCGTTGGCGTTGGCTGAGGTGTGCGGTGCGCGAAAGTGGACCGTGGCTCTTCCCCCCCTTGGAACTTCGCGTCCTTTTTTGTTCGATTTATTGATTATTTTTTTTCGTACAGATTGCATAATTGCTCACGCGGTCTCATACTGTATCGTTTGCGTTTCCTCTCAATCGTTTCCGCCAAGTCTGGTCAAGTTTGTGTGACAGCTACTTACCGCACGGCGATAGTGTATCTTTCTTTTTTTTTTCTCTCTTTTCAGAGTCTTTGTTTTTCACACTCGTCTCTACAGTTTGTACAACGTTTCTATACGAGCTATCCACCTGTCGTTTTCTGAATTACTTTTCAATGTGGCCTTGTATAATGTTTGCGGAACCTACTGCAAGGATGTCTGTAAATAACTTGTAAATAAACTTGTTTCGTTTGGAAAAAAAAAAAAAAAGGATGCGCCAGTAGCTCAGTGGGAAAGACGTCCGGTTTACACGCGGTAGGACCGGGTTCGATCCTTCGTGGAACTTAATTTTTTTTCTTCAAACATTTTTCGATGTTTACATGTATATATATATATATTTTTACAATCACCACTGAAGAAACAAACAAAAAAATAAAAAAACTAATGTTGTGGACGATACTTCGCTGATTTAAATGGTACGGGATTTCCGTTTTGACACCTGCGAGCTCAATGTAATCACTTTCCACAAAATGCAAGGAGCATATAAATCAGGTAACGTCCGCTTTCCGAGGTGCCCGTATATGTTCTACAGGAATTGCAGCCAGCCGTTGGTCCCGATCCCGTTGATCTTTCGGAAACTCTGTCGCACAATGCCACTTTTTTTCCGATTCAGGAAATGTGAGCCAGCTCTTCACGCAACATCTTGGGTGTATTCTTTTCGGAGCCGATCATGGAAATTCACCACGGCCACTTACTACTCATGTCCAACTCCTCAATGTACAAAACAACTCATCTTGGAGTACAGAACAACGAGCGGAACAAACATAACTGCAAAAAAATCGCACGGCGAGCAGTTCCCGCACGCCCCATCGCACGCCGCATGTCCTGTCGTCTGCTACCGGAGAGGAGAAAAAAAAAAAAAAAACGCACGGTAGGGTGTAGCCACGTGACTTCCGCCACTCACTCTCTTCTCTCCACTTCTCCGACCTCCGTCGGGTTTCGGTTTCGGTTTCGAGGAGTTGCGTCATTTGGCTTTATTAAAAAAATACGCTACTCTGTTGCAAAATATTAATTGGGTAGTCCTCCGACACCATAATGAAGCGCCTGGCAAAAAATAAAATTTTTTTTGGGGGGGTGTCAGTGTCCCTTTAACTTTGCTCAAAAGAAGATAATTAAAAATTCAATACTGAACAATGGTGTCCCTTGAGCTGTCAGACCAAACTCCCACTCTTGCCACTCAGGAGTTCCCAACTTGTGAGTAGAAGATCAGCACAACCCAGATTTGTGCTGCAAGCGCACCTGCAATATAAAAGTTGAATAAACATGAGATGAAAAATGAGACGTTTACAATTCTCTGTAATGTGAAATTAGAGCACAGATCTTGAAGAGGAGGATGGGAGGGTATGACCCCCCACCCCCTAACCCTCCTACTCTTCTGCTCCCTCCCATTTAGCGAAAAATTTCCCTGAATTTAGCGGGAAAATTTGCCCACTAAATTTAGCGGGTTAAGTTTTCCACAAAATTTAGCGCGGAAATTGATGTCTCATGACCTCAACACAAATGCAGTTTTCCCGCTAAAAGTAGCGGGGAAAATGACGTTGCATGACCGTGTCATGTCATCCATAAAATATTTAGTTTCTCAGCTAGACTTAGCGGAAATATTAACGTCACATGACCGCAACATTAATTCGATTTCCTGCCAAGTTTAGTTGGGCGGTTACGCCGAGGGCGACGCCGCGAAACGCGGAAACGGGTGCTAAGAGCTGCGCTAAAAAAACAAAATGCATCAGGTGAAATAAGGTGAAAATTAGAGATAAGAAGAAGAGAAGAGAATCTAAGATACCGTTCTCAGATCCTTCCTTTTGTCCGTCCTCAAATGATTTGATTTCAAGAAATGTTTATATCTTTATTCATACCCAGAGAACCCCTCCCAGTTTAAGATAACCAACCTACCAGACGATCGCCGTTTAGGGCTAGCGCATAATTTCCCGATTCACAAGGCACGTTCAAACGTGTGGTCACGTGCAAGGTCGAACTGGCACCGGTATCAAACGGGCACCCGTTTCAAACGGGCACCTGTATCAAATGGGTACCGTTTCGAGCGGGTACCGTTTCAAACGGCTACCCGTATCCCATAATCACGTTTGATCCAAACGGGTCGACAAGTTTGCACCCGTTTGATTTACCAGTTTGCCACCCGTTTGAATTTCAAATGGTTTTTTTCAGTAGGGTTTCGAAATCTTTGCTTATGCATCTTCAGCACCTATCAAAGCTACACACGCACGTGCTATTTTTTAAAAGGGCAGAAAAATGTGTTGCGACTGGTGCCAATGCGGGAGAATATTCCTAGAAAACTTGAGATTGGACGCGCGGCCCTTAAGCGACACGCTTGGCGGCCGAAAGGTCTTCTTACGATGTCAGTATTGGTAGGATGTTTTTTGTTTTCTCACGTTTAGTTATATCTTGGTCAAAAACGAACGGGATATTCAGATTCGCGAGATAAAACTATGCTAGAATGAACCTCCATCTAGTTTTCTGAAAGAAGACTGGCACATCTCTGTAATAAGCTGACTGATCATTACAAATTAGCCTTTTATACTATGCCGCCCTGGCCACATAACTCACGTGCACAGACCGCGTATATGTAGCTTTTACGGCTTTTTTTTTTTAAATCTGTAAAACATACAAAAAAAACTCTCTAGAATGTCCCCCAATACGATACGATTGTATGGTTCTTTTCCCGCTTGCATTGTTCAAGAAAGACCTGTGGACATCCAGCGTTTAATTGGAATGCTGGATGTCAGCGAGTCTACATCAGCGAGTGGTTTCAAACAAGCACGATGTTTGCACACCAGTAAGCTCTTATCCGAGGCTCACCAGGAGCACTAAGAGCAGAGGCAAAATGTCGTGACGAGGTAAATTTGGTTGCAAGTATTTCTTTTTAGAAGAACTGCAAGCAGCAAAGCTTAACTTTGCTCAAAAGAAGATAATTAAAAATTCAATACTGAACAATGGTGTCCCTTGAGCTGTCAGACCAAACTCCCACTCTTGCCACTCAGGAGTTCCCAACTTGTGAGTAGAAGATCAGCACAACCCAGATTTGTGCTGCAAGCGCACCTGCAATATAAAAGTTGAATAAACATGAGATGAAAAATGAGACGTTTACAATTCTCTGTAATGTGAAGTTAGAGCACAGATCTTTAAGAGGAGGATGGGAGGGTATGACCCCCCACCCCCTAACCCTCCTACTCTTCTGCTCCCTCCCATTTAGCGAAAAATTTCCCTGAATTTAGCGGGAAAATTTGCCCACTAAATTTAGCGGGTTAAGTTTTCCACAAAATTTAGCGCGGAAATTGATGTCACATGACCTCAACACAAATGCAGTTTTCCCGCTAAAAGTAGCGGGGAAAATGACGTTGCATGACCGTGTCATGTCATCCATAAAATATTTAGTTTCTCAGCTAGACTTAGCGGAAATATTAACGTCACATGACCGCAACATTATTTCGACTTCCTGCCAAGTTTAGTTGGGCGGTTACGCCGAGGGCGACGCCGCGAAACGCGGAAACGGGTGCTAAGAGCTGCGCTAAAAAAACAAAATGCATCAGGTGAAATAAGGTGAAAATTAGAGATAAGAAGAAGAGAAGAGAATCTAAGATACCGTTCTCAGATCCTTCCTTTTGTCCGTTCTCAAATGTTTTGATTTCAAGAAATGTTTATATCTTTATTCATACCCAGAGAACCCCTCCCAGTTTCAGCATGAATGCAATAAATCAATGCAGACTAGACCTTGTAAAATATAATGCACATGAAAAAGAATGTTCGCCACATAGTCATATATGAGTCAGTGGCTCAGATCTCTAAATACATTTGTATTGAGGAACATTCTTGAATAAAACTTCTGGGCTTTGAATTCGACAGTTTGTACTTCCATAAGGAACACTGTATGGCACTGATTTTTTGTGACACATCAGAAACAGCAGTGTCATCCTTGCATACCCAACAAGAATTTGTATTTTTTTTTTAGCATGGCATGTGCTATTTTAATGGTTATACAGCCTCCTTTAACAAAATTTCCTTTGTAGAGCTTTTTATTGGTTCTTATTTAACTCGCACGACAGATTCGGGACCTTGAATTCTCACTCGGCATCAACAGTTTTATATATTAATGTAATAGTGAAAGACAAGATTAATGGTCTTGAGTACGGCTCAAGAAGCACAGATGTTGAGAAAAGTACTGAAGAAAACTCAAATGTCAAAATAAAAATAAGCTGGAATGTGGATACAATTAAGGACATGGTCATGAATACAGTAGCAGATTCAATATGAAGAATACGTGTTAGACGCACACTCAAAGAAACCTGTTGCATCTATATTCATGCAAATTACTTCGCAGAACCCAGCGCTGCAGTCTCGGGTGCGAGTTCGCTGAATGAGTCCACTGAAAATGATGCAGACGGAAAAAGCAGTTTGATCTGCGACAATGAGCATTACATAGGCAAGTGACATGTCATTGTTACTGTTACAGTGCCGAATGTTTCAAACTGCCAGTCGCATCATTCTGCGAGTTCCATCCGTATATTACAGGGTTTGGCTCTCTCAAATTCTTCGCGACAAAAATTATGAACTGGAAATGTCTAGCGTAGTTCTAGAAAAACTACTTCCAGAATCCTAACTCAGCATCGTAAAGAATATAAAAAGTTTCTAGAGATAAGGTTAGTGGAGGAGTTGAATAAACTAAATACTTAGTTTTGTGAAACCATCTTGCCGTAGTAAACGTATAAAGTTCCCCTAGGTAGAGCTAGTCATTACGGATGATTGTGCCCATTGCATACCTTAAAATTTTAATTTGC